TAAACAAAATCCCGACGCTGACGCGGTCTAATATCACATCCTCTATTCTCGTTGATTAACAACTATTATCAAATTTGGTTTGATCGGCATCAATCATCATCAAAATACGTAAATATCTATATAATTATCCAATAATCCTAATTAATAGCAGTACTCCCATCTTATTTTCTGCATATATATGAAGCACAAAGCACTTCTCCTTCACCCAATTCATCAGCATTGTGTCTTCTCTTACAATCTCAATGGGTTCCTTTTCAGTGGATGATTTATCTCTTCCTTATGATGCCTTGTTCCTTGGGTTCGACAGCTCTACTCAGTAAGTCTCTGCTCTCTCTCTCTATTTTACATTTTCATTATTCTAAAATTTTAAGTATCTTTATTCTTCTGATCCTTCTCTTGTCTTGTTAACAATTCTTCGGCGAGATTCAGAGGTCATTAGTGGTTATTATTACTAATTATTAATAGTGGTTAGTGTTTAAGGTCCTAATGTGAGATTTGAAACGTTATAATTTCTTCAATAAGAAGTTAAATTTTTTAGGCCCTTACGCTTTCATATAATATATGGGAACACCGGAGCCTAAAACAAGGAGAAGCCCCAATACTCGAGGCGCAACCTTCATTCGATTAGTTAGTGTTATGCAATGTACTTTGATATAGTTCAGAATATATAACACTTTCTATATATATTTATCTCCGATTGGGTTTTTGTAATTTCGTTGATAACTTGATATTTTGTTTTCTTCCAAGGTCCTTGAAGGCAACCGTGTTGGATTCCAATCTCAACGTTGTTACTTCGCAGCTAGTTCATTTTCACTCTGAATTGCCTCATTACAAGACACAGGATGGAGTTTATAGAGACCCCTCCATTAATGGCAGAATTGTTTCCCCCACCTTGATGTGGGTTGAGGCTTTTGATCTTGTTCTTCAAAAACTCTCCAACTCCAATCTTGATTTTGGAAAAATTGCTGCTGTATCTGGTAGTGGACAGCAACATGGTAGTGTCTACTGGAAGAATGGAGCTTCTGCAATGTTATCATCGTTGGACTCTAGGAAGCCATTAGTTGATCAGCTTCGGGATGCTTTTTCAACCAAAGAATCACCCATTTGGATGGACAGCAGCACCACAGCACAGTGTAGAGAAATAGAGAAAGCAGTTGGAGGAGCATTGGAGTTGTCTAAACTTACCGGATCTCGTGGTTATGAGAGATTCACAGGTCCACAAATTAAGAAGATGTTTGAGACACAGCCTGATGTTTATAAGAATACAGAGAGAATCTCTCTTGTTAGCTCTTTCATGGCATCTCTTCTGATTGGGGCTTATGCGTCTATTGATGAAACCGATGGTGCAGGGATGAACTTGATGGATATAAAGCAAAGAGTCTGGTCTAAGATTGTTTTGGAGGTTTGTTTGGCAGATATCCTTTGGTTTTTTTCGTAGGCCCTTGTTTATTCCCTGATTCTTGTTGGGTGATGTTTCTTGAAAGTTTGAGGCTTTTGATGTAATTAACGTCTGTTGTTCATCACTGTCTCTACTCCAGGCTACCGCACCAGGTTTGGAAGAAAAGCTTGGTAAACTTGCGCCATCCCACGCTGCTGCTGGTCATATCTGTTCCTATTTTGTAGAGAGGTTTGTAGTTGTTTATTAACAATTTATATCTTATGAGAACTATTATCAACATATTTGCAATTCTGCATTAATCGTCAAAGTCCAACAGGATTTACATTCTGTGATAACATGAGTAGATGATCTTATTTTAATAGTTAGAAATGAGCCAAAAATGGAGATTTCGAGGTGTCCAGGTGATATTGTAGTTTAACTTTAAACATATGGACGTGGGCAATGATTTTGCAGGTATAATTTCAATAAAGATTGTTTGGTCATTCAATGGTCCGGAGACAATCCAAACAGTTTGGCAGGTTCCTACTTCTGCAACTCAACTACCTTCTCCTTTATCTCTTTTTGGCAAAAAATTATGCTATACTACTTAGTTGTACAGGCTTGTGCTTGACATCTTAAAATGAGAAACCTTTTATCCACGCCTGTCTTACTTGTGAATTACTTATCAAAGAACCAATTTTTATTGAGTTATCAATTGGTTAAAATTCTTCATTTAATCTTAGTTGACAGCATCTTAAAACTTGCAGGTTTAACCCTGAACAAACCTGGAGACCTGGCAATCAGCCTAGGGACCAGCGACGTTGTAAGTGACATTTGTATTCTTTGTCAGTTTTTCTGATACGTTTCTTTCCTTTTAAGTTTCTAATGTGCTGCCTGGTACATGTATTTGGAAATCGAATGCTAAAGACTGGTTTTAATCTGTAGTCAGCTCATGTATTTTAACTTTAATTTGTTAGTGTGTTTGGCTGGTCCATGTAGGGGCATCAAGGATCCTCATATGAACCTATATATGGATGCTCCTACTCCTGTAAAGAATGCATTTTTTGAACTACCTTTCAGTTCTTTAAGGCAATATATATCAGTCAACTGTGTCTTTTGCCTCGATACTGGAATCCAATTAAGCATCTTACAAAAATATGATGTCTTTAATTTTATTTATCCTTTTCATGTGGATTTGGATGCTCAAGCCTTTCTTCATTGCCTATCTTTTTCCTTATGAACTTTTTGGTGAGTCTATTTTTCTTTTCAGTTTGATCTCTGCTAAATATATTTTCCTTATTCCCTATGCTTTGCGCCCGAGCGATGATGTTTGGGAGTGATTGCTATTGAATTTGGGTTTCATTTCTGTTTAATGATTCTCACTTTCTGTATTATATATGTCTTGCAATTGCGATAACCACATGAAGAAGGATGCATCTTCCCCCATCGGAAAATTATCATGTTTTATCACTTAGGCTTTAATTTGAATTTGCATGTCCAGGTGTTTGGCATCACTAAAGATCCACAACCTAGATTACAAGGTCATGTCCTCCCTAATCCTGTTGACACGGAAAGCTACATGGTAATGTTGGGCACCAAGAATGCGTCTCTGATGCGTGAAGGTATATTGCATATTCCCTTCCCATGTCCATGTGTTTGAGATGTGAATCCATTAATACTTACTATGATCACCATCTTAAATCTAGATGTTCGTGACCGATGTGCTGAGAAGTCTTGGGATGTTTTCAATAAATTTCTGCAGCAATCACCTCCACTAAATGGTTAGAAATATGTTGTTTTATTTGCTTTTCCTGGATATTTCCTGTTACTTTTTTTGTGCTGTTTTCTCATTCTAGTTCTTGCAATAGGTGGGAAGTTAGGTTTCTACTACAAGGAGCATGAAATCCATCCTCCCCTTCCTGGTGAGTTTCAAAATTTTAGTCTTGCATGTCATTTCTTCTTAAATGAGCATGATTTGGCGATGGACAAACTGAAACTATCATTATAGATCTGTAGTCTAGAATCTTCCCTGAATCAGTGAGAACGAGATGGTTTCTTTGTGAATATTACAATTCTAGGCACAAAAACCATAGCTAAGAAGTCAGATGCATATAGCATCAGCTTTGGATTGGAAATGAAATGAAATGCTATTTTAATTTTATGGCAGCAGTCTGCAAGGCGTTTAGCTTTACTTTCTCAAAATATGACATAGTTGACTAATGGATTCCCCTTTTCTTTTTGACTTTTCCAGTTGGCTTTCATAGGTACATTCTTGAGAATTTCACTGGGGAAACACTTGAAGGGTTGAAAGAACGTGAAGTGCAAGAGTTCGATCCTCCCTCTGAGGTTATTATTTCTTATGAATGGTCCATTCCCATAGACTGACGATTTTCATTGAAAAACTCCCATGAAAAACCATGCACATTCATTTCCAGGTCCGGGCTTTGATTGAGGGCCAATTTCTCACTATTCGTGCGTATTCAGAGAGATTCGGTATGCCTTCTCCTCCAAAACGAATCATAGCTACTGGTGGAGCATCTGCAAATCAAAACATTCTGAACACAATTGCATCCATTTTTGGCTGCAACGTTTTTACAGTCCAACAGCCAGGTATGCTGTCAGGTTCCATGTATTTCAGATTCAATGCAAGTCTAAACATTAATTCATCATCCAATGGTATGGTTTTTCACCGAACTACCTTTCTGTCTGTTTGCTTCACAGATTCAGCTTCTCTAGGAGCAGCATTGAGGGCTGCACATGGTTGGCTGTGCAACAAGAATGGTAGTTTTGTGCCCATCTCATGTATGTACGGGAATTTGGAGAAGACATCTCTCAACTGTAAGCTGGCGGTGACTCCTGGAGACCAGCAACTTGTTGACAAGTATTCCTTGCTAATGAAGAAGAGAATGGAAATTGAGGATCGTCTCGTGCAGAAGTTAGGCCGCTGGTAGGAAAAAATTAGTTGGTTCTTTTCCTCTCTTTTTTTTTTTTTAATTGGCAAAATAAATTTTATTAATAAAATTAGTTCTAGACTGAATAAAGATGATAACCGGACTAAAATTAAAAGTGTCCAATTAATTTTTATGTTAATCAATGGAGATTTTAATTTTTTTT